TGTTTGTTGTAGTGAAAATTCGACGATCGCGTACTCGTCAACAAACTGTAAACGCATGAACCTCATGGTGGCAAACCGAAGAGAATCTTCTTTTTAGTAACTCCCCTAACAAAGGAAATTGTGAGTTGTAGTTGAAGTGAGAATTAATGTTAGAGAGTGTTTGTGATGAATATAACTGGAAACAAATTTGGTGGTGTCTATCATTTCATTATTATTTCGAAATCACCATTTCAATTCATGAAGTATTGCATTTACATCAATTATTGTAAAAAAAAAAACATGAAAAATAATGTACAGATTACAATGTATACAGTAATATTAAAATTTCATTCATTTTTTTGTTGATAAAATATTTACTTTTATTGTGAAAGTAAACTCAAGTTAATTATAAGTTATGTAAAAAAGCTTCTGTATTTGAGGAAAGATCTTCATTGGAATATATTTATACAAAAAAAAACACAAGATGCTCTAAGAGATGATTACAGCTTGGATTCGTAGAAACTTTTCATACACTGTTGTCAACAGAAGGCTATAATGTTTAGCACCACTACGATATTCATAGTAATGGTGGCAAAATGGCATCTGATCCTCAATTAATGGTATACTTTCTTATTAATAGCTTAGCGTTATAAACACTAAATGAAGAGGCGTAGATTATTGTTATAATATGACAGTTTGTTGACGAGTACGCGATCGTCGAATTTTCACTACAACAAACATTTGTATATCGGATCCTACTGATACACTCACACGTGAATAGTCCTTACCAAGAAGATTTTGTGTCACAACGATCTTCGAATTTGTGGTTATAGTTGGATCGGACAACGACTGTTTCTTCTGTTCGATAATATGCGTCTTTTAGTTGATGAGAAACGGACACAGAAAACAATACGTTCTTACTGATGAACAGTTAATTAACAAATCTGATAATAAGTTATTGTCAAAGTTGCATAAAGCATAAGGCTAGATGTTTTTAATATTAACTTCTCGAAAATTATGTAGTTAAATCGGACATCGATATTCTTAATGTTCAAATCTAAAAGAAGTTGAATGTTTATCCATTTTTTTGCAAATAATAAACATCGAACTACACATAATTTACACAAAATATAAATTTCTGTTAAATTCGGTGAATTCATGAGAATAAGACAATTTGCTAAAGAAGTCAAAGTTATCTATTCTTTCGAGTTGTTGATATGTCTTGTATAATCAAAGGTACGGTTGGCTATCATTTTTTAGGTTTCGTTCTCAGATACATCCTCTTTGTCATAATAACAATAATGATATAATTGAAAAACAAACACCACGTTGTAACAGCTTGCAACTGGGTTAGAAACCTTTAAGGATGTATAACGATGAAACTTATGATCGAGTTTTACCCTGAAAATTTGCATATAACTAGGACAATATGACTTACATCCGCTATGTAATTTTTAGGATAGCTAACCGACTGTTTTTTAGAAATAATTGATTTTGAAAATCGACTAAAAATGCATTAGGCTTATGGAAGAATAGGCACTACTTCCACTATAGTAATATTTATATTAATAAATCAGTTGGCTAGCATAAAAAAAAACTATAAACAATATAATTCGATAATGGAAAAAAATATTGGTACTATGAAAAAATTGTTTGCCCGACTATATTTAAAGAAAAATGATTCTAAACTTGTTTTTTATCAGAAACCACCATGAGTTCCTTGATAACTTTACGCTTGGCAACGTTATAATTGTCGTGAATTGATACAACGAATAAAAATGCTTTCTATTGTAGTAAGCAGAGAGCAGAAAACTCATAAATTTAAAACCGTAAACAGTTTATTTCCAATTTGATTTTCTAATTTTTTTTTTAAATTTATTATCACATAAATATTATAATTAAGTTATAATAATTTATTTAAAAATATAAATAAACTTTATAAGTTTTAGATACTTTTTTAAAAAAAGTAAAAATAATGGAATAAGAATAATAAATTATTGATGAATGAGTAACATCATATATCACTTGAAACATTCATATAATAAAAATATAATATAATAAAAGTAAATAACTAATCGTTTAATCTGCAAAATATCACGTGTCATAATAAGTTATTCACTAATTTCAATCAGTCTTGTTATCATTGCATTGATTATTGCCTTCGATTTTGTCACACGTGGCTTACCACCTACATCTTGACCTAGTAAAATTGTAATTCCTGTGTTTCCATTTGTTGCATATGTTTCCCTCAACTTTTTTAATAAAATACCAGCCTCTGCTATTTTTTTGATCATTCCTGAAGAGAGACCTCTTTTTTCTTTATCATCTAACTTTGATTCTTTTTCTTCTGATGACTGTAAAATAGAAAGTTCTGGTGTCAAAGATGCTACAATAGCTGATCTACGTTTTGTATATTGAAAATATTGAATTGATAGAACACTTGATTTCAAATCATCAACTGACAAATTAATTTCAGTGTTAAACATCAATTTCTGCAACATTGTTACATCACCTATGGCGTTATGAGCTTTAACAATCTCATCATTATTTAAATAATCTTTTGCTAATTCCACAAGTCCAAAACCTAACTTCGAACACTTGCGTTCTGGTAGTTTTTTTTTAAACAAAGGATAACTATCACAGAATCCATAAATAATATTACTAAATTCAGCTAACATATTTTCTTTTTCTATTAGTTGTAAAATTTTAGGACCGTCAAATCTTAAACAGTTATGAGCAACCAAAATTACTTTAGATCCTGACATTTGAAGAAAAGAAATAAAATGTTTTATAGCCATTTTTGGAGATATAGTTGACACTTCTACACAATCAACGTACAATTTTCCGTCCTTCGCTGTAATGCCAGTAATATCAGCTGCACCTGATGATATCGGTCTTGTTGATAGCATGTAAGCATCGTACTATCGATCATCATGTTTAGCACCTATTTGCACGATTTCAGCATTTCTCCCGAATCCTGTTGTTTCTAAATCAAAAAATACAATTGCTGAATTGTCCTTAATTGGAATATTCACGTACTTCTCGGGAATAGGTTAATTAATAAATTCAATTCCAGCATCTAAACCACTTTGAGACTGATAACTTATTCCTTCACGATTTTCAGCATTTGTATTTACACTACTGCGAGCTTTAAACAGTTCACGACGTCATTTTTTGTATGGTACAGTTTTAGAATTTGCTGCGCGAATTCTTTTAATATTATCTTTCTTTTTCAAGAATTCTGAAGATTGTTTAGTAAGTGGTGAATACTGTAATTTGTCATTTACTCTTTGAATAAATGTAAAACCTACATTTTCCTTACAAACTGCAGTACTGACTCTAAAATCGTTGGATTCAGATCCACCATAATGTCTTGTTTTTGGAGCTTTACTGGCTATTTTCATGTTCATAGATTCGTTAGCCTGGCTTGAACCACCTGGTGCTAATTTCTCAGCAATGTTAGCAAAGTGCACAAAAACATTCTAAATTTTTTTTTAGCTCATCACCTACCAATTCTTTACCACCTGGTAACAATTTATGAGTATATTGCTCGGGGTTTTTTTTGTATCCACACCACTCCTGACAATTTTTATGATCATCAAAAGCATGTGGTACTATATTAAGTAAAAATTGTTTAGTAGCAGAGACATTATCCTTGTTGCATTTTAGAATGCACCTAAAACAATATTTAAAATATAATATTACTTGAGAATTTAGACATTTCAGTGCATATAATTTTTTTGATAATGCACTAGTAGCATGATTAACATCTGTCCACTTTAGTATCTGATGATTTGATTCCCTACGCAACCGTGCTATTGTACTGGAGTCTTCATCTCCAATCAAGGTACCAAGTCGTACACCTTCAGCTAGAAAATTATTATTATGAAGAAACAACTCTACGGCCATATCCGGCTCCATAGCTTTAGAACTTTCATGAAAGTTTAGACGACAATCATGTTCGTCTTTACTTAATCCTTTTTCACATTTCACACATCTCTCGTTTCTGGTTGTATAAGCGACGATTAAACGAGAAAAATATCCAATAGCTGTAGAAAAAACTCACGAATACAACATATACATTCTTTCGAACAAGTTATTCATTTTTGACAGACAAATTTAATCACCTACAATATTTATGATATTACCTTAAATTGTTAATCGTTAAAGTTTTTTTTCTTTTTAAGCTTTCCCGACAACTGTCTTGAGCTACTTGTTCTATTTCATCACCTATATGTCTTTCATATCGTTTTAGAAGACAATCATAAACTGGTGGAATATTTAATGTAACCAAAATAGTGTTCAAATGTGATGTACTCACACCAGCAACTAGTATAGCTATAAACAAAATATAAATTATCATCAAATATTAATGATGTCATAAATGACAAACTCATAAACATGGAATAGAAACTTTTGTCTGTTCCAAAAAAATTTGAATATTTTTTACCCATGGCAGCTTTTCCATTAACATCATATTTTCTACAATGAGTTTGTTGAGATGTTTTAACTTCATGCATCTTGTTGCATCTATGACGATTTCTTCGTGTTTGATGTACCGAAAAGATAAAGAATCATTACAGTTGTCACACCACATTTCTTTGCTAATTGTTGGCATATGGAGAACTCTTCTACCATGAATATCGCACGCTAAAAAGAAAAAAAATCATGAAGACAGTCATTTCAGAAACGATTGCTAGATAACTGATAATAATATTACTTAATATAACCATAAATATGTATAAATGTTGTAAAATAAGACTCAATAACAATTTCGGAAAATTAGTAAATAAATAAAAATGTTTATTAATAATTGACAGCGATTAATAAAAAGAAAGAATCCGTGCGGTCAACTCAAGTCTCAGACAAAAACTGGGGATCAACAAACTCTCCCCTCGTTGCTATAAACAATCTAATCGTCAAGCAATCGTTGTTAACTAACAAACTGTCGTTAGTCTAATAGTCATTAGATGGTAACATACAAATATTTTACACTTCTCCCGATCTTCTGAAAATTGCCACCTGGCAATTCCTATTAGTTGGGTAAAAATATTGGATTAGGCTGAAATAAATAAACATGAAAAATCTAAAATTGAATTTCTAATTCGAAATTATGAAAATCAAATTAGGCACTTGATCTCGAAGAATGACAACCTGAAAGATAATATGAGAAAGATTTAAAGCTTCCCAACGTTCAACTAAAATACCATTTTTCAATTCTAAAGAATTCCAATAAAGTAAATAAATTTTAAAAGTAGAATCCAAATGTGAAACATCATTAAACTCGGGAACTTTATTTTCCTTTTTGAATTTAATAATTAAACTCAAAATGTTATCATCATTTTGAAATTTGATCCAATCAGAATCATTACTAATTTCACAAATGACACGGAAAATATGCCTACTATCACATTTTTCATCAGAATCTATTTTCAGACATTTTGTACAATCACATGGACGCCGAGAAAGACCATCAGCATTGCCATGTTTATGACCAGGTCTATGTTGAACTTCGAAATCATATTGAAATAAGATTTCAAACCAACGAGCTATTTGATCTTGAGGATTTTTGAAAGAAAGTAACCAAGTGAGAGAGGCATGATCAGTTCTAATAGTGAACCTCTTGCCAAGAAGAAAATGACGAAAATGTTCAACAGAAATAACAGCAACTAATAATTCTTTCCTAGTAACACAATAGTTACGTTCTCGATTATTTAAAGTCTTACTGAAGTAAGCAATAACTTTTTCTTCATAAACAGTCTCACCATTATTATTAACTGGAATCTTTGAGATACCAATACCAACATTCGAAGCATCAGTATCAAGAATAGAAGGATAATTTGGATCAGGATATCCCAAAATTGGAGTGGAAGTCGAAATTTGTTTCAAGTTTTGAAACGTTTGAAAAGCTAAATCATCCCAAATAAAATCTTTCTTTTCCTGACTAATAAGATAAAAAGGCTTTGCAATAGTAGCAAAATCTTTAACAAATTTTCTGTAATAAGAACAAAGACCTAGAAAACTTCTGAGTTCAGATTTATTTTTAGGGACAGGCTAATTGATAATAGCAGAAATTTTATCCGGAGAACTTTTCAGTCCTTCACCAGAAACTACATGTCCAAGGAAAATAATTTCTTTTTGGAAAAATATACATTTCTTAGGATTTATCTTGAGAGAAGCTTGTAAAAGTCTTTCAAAAATATTTTGAAGATGAATAAAATGTTCATCAAGACTTTTACTGAAAATAATAATATCATCCAAATAAACTAAACAAATTTTACCAAGAAGACCTTTTAAAACTATATTCATAAGTTTAACGAAGGTAGCAGGAGCATTAAACAAACCAAAAGGAAGAACCTTAAATTGCCAAACCTCATTCCAAATACAAAAAGCAGTTTTAGATCTATCCTCCCGAGCAACTTCAACTTGCCAATATCCACTTTTTAAATCAACGGTAGACAACCATTGAGCACCAAGAACCATATTTAATATGTCTTCTTGATGAGGAATTGGTGTTAAATCCTTAACTGGGACATTGTTTAATTTACGATAGTCAACACAAAATCTAATTTCATCACCTTTTTTTGGAACAAGAACAACAGGAGAAGCCCAAGGACCATTACATGGTTCTATTGCATTCTGTTGTTTCATTTCCTCCATAACTGAATCAACTTTATCCCTATAATGTAAAGGAATACGACGAGGAGCCTGTTTAATAGAAAGTGCATTTCCAACATTAATTTTATGTTGTAAAATTTTGCACCTTCCTAAATCAAAAGAATTTTTCGCACAAATATCCAAATTCTTCAATAAAAGTTCTTCAAAACGAAATTTATCATTGACATCCAAAAATTTTGAAGATCTTTCAAACAAATCTAAAACAAATTCGGGAAGTTTATTCAAAGAAGAACTAATTTTATTAATTGAATCAACTTTATTACTTTCTGAGAATTTTTTATCAAGAAGATCTTTGAAATCAGTAAATAAACCAGACTTGATTAAGAAATCTGATCCTAGAATACATTCTTCTTCAATTTGAGCAAAAACAACCTCTATATTAACCTTAATATTGGAAATCTTTATTTCTACAGTCTCGATAAAGTCAAAATCAAATTTATCACCTAAAACTGTAAAAATAGAATAAGAAATCAAAGAATTAACAACCCTAATATCAGCAGCAGTATCAACTGTCATAATACATTTTTTGCCATTAACTTCCCCTCTATGTGAAAGTTTCGGTTGAGAATCAGAAGAATAAGCGAAATTAATTGAATTAATTTTTAGTTTTGACGAAATTTTTTTTTGGATGAACTTTCACCAGTAGACTCATTAGAATTATGAATACTCGATAAACTACTTTGAACAGCTTGAAGAACTTGACAATTCTTCTTAGAATGTCCTTTTTCACCACAAATCCAATATTGGAAAATTTGCGAAGAATTTTGATTTTGGGAATTCTACATAAAATTTCCTTTAAACGAATTATTTTTATCATCCTTATTAAAATCATTTCTAAAATTATTATTTTTATTGGAATTATAATTATTTTTACTAAAATTATTATTATTCTTATTATTAAATTTGTTTTTATTCTGACCTCCAAAGATCAAATCTTCAATCGACTCAAGCTCTAAAGCTCCCTGAGTTGCTAATTAAAGAGACTCAATTCTCTCTGAACAAAGAGAAAATTGTAACTTCAATTTTTTTAATCCGGAAATAAATTGCAAACAAGCAATTTTATCTCTCTCTTCAAAAGAGACCGAATGATACGCAAATTTGTCAAGCCTGTCCAAATCATTTGATAAAAAGTCTGTTAAATTTTCATTTTCAGACTGTTTTCTAGCCTGAAAACGACTAAAATAAGCTCGAGAAAATTGAGCTTAACCAAAACGATCTTTCAAAATTTTCT